TTTCAGACAAGCTCGACATTTGTCCTATATACTATCGACCATGCTCTTTAAAATGGCCGAATCAGTTTTCTTTATTTTTGTAGTCGAACCTTCTGATGTGAAGGGGACCGTTAGCTGGCCACGCCGTATATACAGATACAAGGAAAATGATGTTGAATACAAAAGATAGAAACTAAAGTTTTCGATGCCTTTTTCTAAAAAAAGACTGAACGTAGAGTACAACCCGTAATGTTAACGAATTACGAATGTTTCTTGAAAATGTCTAACTATTTTACATAAAAGATCCAAAGATTAAGCTTTTTTTCTGAAAGTTTTTCTTTAATCATAAACGAAATATTTATATTTAATGTCATTTTTTTCTATATTCTACATTTAAGAATAGATGTTGATTAAAACAATTTCGTAACATCAAATAATACCGGTTAAATATACAAATCAATTAAATCTTTCAATCATGTTACTAGTGAATTTATTTAGCGATGTGAATTTTAACGGCTTCCCTTAGGTGTATCGATGATTATTTCTTTTTTTTAAATATTCATCTTTAATGTCTTTTCGTTTTTTTCTAATTCCCTTTAAAAGGTAATACGATACATATTTTGTTATTCTCTGATATGATAAATAATAATATTTGTTGATGCCTTTTATTTCGACAAAAGCAGAAGTTTGGATCATATTATTAATCCCTCAAAAGTAATCTCTCAAAATAGACAGGCAGTGTCGTTCTATTTTGACTTCGCACATTAATGTTTTCGGTTCGTTCTAATCTGTCCAGAAGCTGGAAAAGGCAAGTCATTTGATTGCTGATGTCGAATTAATTCAAAGTTAACTTAAAGTGAATTAGGAAATTGGTATTTGATTGACTGAACAAAAAGAATCTCCCACGACAGGTTTTGGTTTTCTTTTCTTCATTTCTCGCTTACACATTTTGAATTCTACATTTTATTTAAAATTTATTTGGAGTTCATTTTACGGAAATGCTTTAGATTTGTATGAGCTCAAACTTTCCAATTTTTTTCACTAAACCAATCAGTTCTAAAACACCGATAGCTATCAGGCTACACACAGTGGGCAATTTTGGCTAGAGCAGGCGGACATTCAATTTCAGAATATAGTGTATTTAAGCTATTCTATATCCTGTTTATAGGAGATCTCAAAATAAATTTTATAAAACCCTAAGGTTTTCCAAAAGGTTCTCTGGAAAATCCAATAATAAAACAAGGATTTTTGCTGATTTTTCGATCGTATAATCACGTTTAGGGAAGGAAATTAACTAACTATATCCTGGAAGTTTGAACTCATTCTGAAGTTTATTGAGTGAATAGTGAACGTTTTAATATTAGGTGAAAACAGCCTGAAAACGCAAATTTTCGTAAAACTTGCTTTTCGGTAGATTTTTAGAACTTTTTCTAATAACAAATATTACCACGATCAGCATGATCGATTACCTATAGTCCATCTGTTTTCCACGCTATCAATAGTCATCGGGTGACAGTCCTGGAACTCCAAAAACCAAGGGTTTTTGGAAACCCATAACTCTGTTGAGATTCATTTGGGCATGCACTATAGTTGTATTCTGAGTAGAAGAATATTCTGTGAAAGTTTCGTCTAATTTGGATGATGGCTAACGATGGCGCGCTTATTTTACTGAAGAATAGCCATTTGAACCAAGCAAGAACCAAGTTTTTATGATGAATGGAGAATGGATAGAAATTCTTTTAATAATAATCCCTTGTTCAAAAATTTAACAATATTTTTTTAAGTAATTAATTTTTTTCTAAGCCAAATAATGTCAGTAAACCGAAAAAGCTTCAGAACATGTACTTCGAAGTATTCTCTACAAATTGAGAACGTTAAAGAAAAATTTAAATGCTCCCCCGCCCCCTTAAAAGCATCAGAGACGATCAAGTAATGGTAATTATTCATGAAAAATAATATCCGTCTGCTAGTAGAAGGACCTCTTGTATCACCGATAGACAAAAGAGCAAGAATCAGTACGGCGTGGCGAAGCGTGACGGAATGTCACTTTTTTGCCTTCTCTGACTCATAAATCGCGAGCAGTGTAACTGAACTTCTGAAATTTTTATCACAGATAGGGAGCTGTGAGTATGAGTGAGAAAAGGAACTTTGAATTCATTTTTTATCCTATAGCGACAAAAACTTATTACTTGCTGGGCATATATCTTGCTCTAAACAGTCTGAGTCTGTCTCGCATTCATTAAGGTCGACATTTTCGTTTTCAGTTAGACTCTAGTGGGTCTAAAAGATGCACATCCAGAAAACAACATTTTCTTTGGTAAAAGTGTGAAATAAACCAGGCAGAATATACTGTTGATAGCGGAGTTTTTATAGTTATCCATCTGTCCATTGGTCACAAAATTTATATTTACTTTAAAAGTGTGTCCATTGTCATGCGGCAATGTGAATTATTGTCACATGCATAAATAGATATAAGATTAAGGAAATTCAAAAGAGGAGCACTTTTTTCATGCTATTATGGCGAGCGGAATGATATATAAATATTGACTTCATCTCCTATCTAGAGATACTTGAAGCTTTTTGTGTCGACATAAACGGGATTTTGACTGTTGGTGAAGAACTAAAATTTTTTAGATCATATCATACTTGAATAGTATCGAAACACTATTTTTCAGATTTAGCTTTTTACGGAGAACAAGAATAAAAAGCTCCCAAGGTTCCCAAACACATTGCGTTCGAGTTTTATGTTGATTTTTCAAAATTAACTATTTAAAATTTTAAAATTTTTAGTGTTTTTACATTTTCGACATTCAAATTCTGATTCGAAAGGTTAAAATACACATATTCGGATTCAGGTCGTCGAGCTCTATCCAGCTATGTATAAATATCGAAAACAATAAAAAGTGCTCCTCTTTTGAATTTCCTTAACCTTACACACATGTCTCGTTTCATACGAATGTTTAGTTTTTGAGAAAAATCATTTTTGTCTATAGACGCGGAAAGCTATTAGCCATGACCTGTACATACTCATAGATCCATAAGTTGTATTTCAGATTTTTGATTCAAAAACTTAAAAACCTTGATTTATTAATAATCAGTCTTTGACTGCTATATTATGTCGTAGTTAGCTAATTTGTACTATAACATAGTTAATCTTTTAATTGTATTATGTCGTAGTTTGTTTAGTTGTAGTATTCACACTTTTTGATGGAGGTGATCGATCTGTACAAGAGTCTACTTTTTAAAAGCAATTGGCAGTCAAACGTTCGGTACTCACAACTGCTGAAAGCTATCTTTTGTTTTTTTGTTGAATATTTTACAAATCGTTTTTGTTAAAGGTAGATAGATATAAAATGAATTTATTGACTTTAATCGTCTGCGTCCTAATTCCTATTTATACAAAAGCTTGGTGGCATCCAAAACCGTTGACAACGTGGACGTGGCAATTGCAAGGAACTATCGATACCACAAAAAATGTTCAAATGTACGATATTGATCTCTTTGATACGCCAATAGCCACTATATCAAAATTAAAACAAGCAGGACGAACTGTTATTTGTTATTTCAGGTTTGTTACAGTTCGATAATAGAGCTTAAAACAGTGCTGTTATCTGGTCGATTCATACTTTTAGCGCTGGAAGCTTCGAAAATTGGCGTCCGGATGCATCAAAATTTCCAAAATCAGTTCTCGGAAGTGTCATGGAAGATTGGTGTGATTCTTCCACTCAATGCGAATGGTGGTTAAATATTAAACAAGCGAATATGGCTATCATAGGACCAATAATGCAGGCTCGCCTTGATCTGGCTAAATCAAAAGGATGTGATGGAGTGGAACCAGATAATATCGATGGGTATACGAATGAGAATGGCGTCAAGTTAACGTATGCAGATCAGTTGGCGTATAATAAATGGTTAGCTCAAGAAGCACATAAAAGACGTACGACAAAACGCTGTATTTATAACATTATCAGCCTTGAACATTGCTCTAATAATATTTAGAATTGTCAATTGGTTTAAAGAATGATCTTGATCAAATCCCTGAGCTCGTTGGTTCATTCGACTGGGCTCTTAATGAACAATGTTTTCAATACAATGAATGTAACAAGCTACTCCCTTTTATCAACGGTACGTGTAGTTTCATTTAGAAAGCAATTTATCAACATAGATACTACGCATCTGTCAAATATGTTTTTAAAAAGCGATCTTTCTATTTTAGCTGATAAAGCTGTTTTCATTTGTGAATACAAAGGTTCAACAAATACGTTCTGTCCAAAATCAAATCAAATGAAATTCAGTACAATCAAAGCTACACTAGATCTGAATGGTAAAAATATGGCTTATTGTTTAACTACCGTATAAAAGAAACGAAATATACAATGTACAATGTCAGAAGTACATGAGAAAATGATTCTCTTTTATTTTTCTCGGTTGAATTTTATATAAACTTAAATATGTTTCTATAAAGTGTGAATAAAATAAAGATTTTGACAGAACCAACCATTAATTGATAAAACAAAATTGAGCATCAACGACAGGAAGAAAACAGCTCAGATCTGTCTTCGATCGGCCTTCACAGCTACACACTCGCTGAAGTACATGACATCAATTTTTAAAAAGTTCATCATCATCCGTTCGATTTTCGACTTAAGTACGACAATTGCTATTCGGCTAACATTAATAGAGATGTCTATCTTTTTATAAAATTTCCTTCGCAACAAAGAGACTGAAATCATTAGATTAAACTCTGACTTTTCCATCGCTCTTATTATGGAATAAAAGCCCACTCGAAATGGTAGACTATTTCTACAAAGAAGTTCACCTCCGAAACAGGCATGCACCGATACCAGATTCTCGAACTTGACAATTTCGACTATTAAGAATTTTCGATTAGTTAGAGTTTTCTTATTCGATTTCTATTTCGAAATATTCTTTTGTAATTAGACTGCGGTGAGACTAAAAGGTGCACGTCTACATTTTCTTTGGTAAACGTGTGAAAGAAACCATGCAGAATATAGGTACGTATCTATCCTTTACGATAGATAAAAATAACGACGTTTATCTGTTTTTGTTGTGTACCTTTGTTACTTATTAACAGTTTTTGTCAAAATTCTTCGGCTATCATATCTGTTGAGCATTTGCATACACTAAAAGCAATATAACTTAGTCGGTTTTGCACGTCTCCATCAACAGACAAGATTTGATGTCCATAAGTCATCTGTAGTTCATTCATGAATAGATTAGTAGAAGTTCCATCAAATGCAATGTGAAGGCAATCCTTTAAGCTTTATAAATGTGACATTCTGCGTAAAAGAAAAAAGAGAGAAAGAAAAGAACATCTCTCTAAATACTCGATATTAGAACACATGTGTAGAAAGGAATAAATACATTGGCCTTAAAAATAAAATGCGGGTTTTGTCGAAAATCATCCCATTTTGCATTCTCTTGTCAAACTCGAAAATGCTTCTTAGATTCTCGAAGTTGGTTCGAGCTTAAATAAAAAGACATAATGTACTTTGGTGTCTTTGCGACCAGAGATGAGTTCATTTATTTTACTGCATTAAAACTAAGAAAAACAGCATGTTACAACGAAAATGTATTGTAAACAACTCTCAGATAATTCAGGTAGAATCATTTTATAGAAAAAGTCTCTCTTTCCAAAAGTTACCATCACCATCTTCAATCTGTCCAGTTTCAATACTTAATCGAAAAAGCTAACATGCTTCAAACACTACGAACAGCTGTAACAAGTCGTCACACGATCACCAGTTCAAATCTAGATTTGGTTCAATTGAGTTTCATCAAGTTATTTCAAAAACAGATTCAGTCACTTGCGAAACATTTTAAAGAAAGTTATCATTCATCATGCTCTGTTACGTTTTTGCATCCTACTACAGTTTTCGCTCTCATGGTGGACTAGTAGTTGTTGTAGTGGCACCTAGAACAGAATGAAACTTTCTAAACAGAATTAGCATATACTGTCTGTTCTTCATTTACTCGTAAGTATATTCATTGTACGAATCGCATCAGAAATAATACCGGTCACAGATGTATATTTTAAAAAGAAAGTCGATTCACTGTCTGACTTTCCCCACACGAATACTTCGCAGTAGCTAGTCAAGGCCAAGCATTGCTGAAAACATTCATCCAGTATGATACTTGACAAAGAAGATCCGATATCATTGCCATAAATATCATAATTTGTGTAGAATAAACATTTCAATGCAAACAAAGAAAAAGCGACATGATTATCATTTGTTGGCAATGTCAAACCGAATGGGCTAGCTGCTAAATCGAATGATAAACTCTCTTGTGTTGATATGAGCAATTTTTGTAATATCTGTAGAAAAACTTTAGATTCGTATTACAGTTAAGCAATGCTTTTTTACTAATTCGTTGATCTTGAATCAAATTTTATGAACGAAATTTGTTGATAAATAACTAACTGTTAAAACTGCTGAAAGATCAATTCATATGATTATTGGATGGGAAACAATTAATGCCATAGCATAATCTGGATGTTCCAAGCATCGGTATATGCAATTGATACTATTAGCGTCCGATGATGGTTGTACGATTGTTAGATTTGTAATAATCGATGCAAAAGATGTACGAACGATCTAAACAGCGTTTACAGTAGAAATAATGTGTATTAATAGAATAATAAAAGATAGAAAAATCTAACATCATTTTTTCTAAGATTTATCTACTTCGTTAAAGACTAGATATCTAACTCCAATACTACAGGGCTATTTTGAATTCAAATGGCAGAGAAGTTTTGAACAAAATGCTTTGAGTACATTATCTTTTTTTATTTCAACTAAGACCGGTCTCGAAGTATATAAGAAGAGAAAACTTAAACATGTCATCATTTTTTAAAAAATATAGGAGTGGGCTCTTATTTTTTTTGCATTTTTGCACAGGATGAAAAACGTATAATTGGATAGCTATATGAATAAAAGAGCTTTCAAGGTCTATTAAACATGATTCATTTCTAATAATTTAAATAAAAGAAAGATATTACTCTTCTTTAAGAAAATCTGATGATTTGAAAATGTGAAGAATTTTTTTGTGGCAGCTCTAAACTTTCTTCACTTATCACTTTTATTTTTATTTGACGTATTAAAAAGAGTTTTTGTTTCCTACCAAGTTCAAACTTTGTGATCATTACCTTTGTCATATAGATATTTCATTATCTGTTCTTTTTTCAGAATCAAGACGTGTCATAGAATGCGTTATACTCAAACAAACAAGACTCATTAAACGGCATTTTCTTCCTCTGAACTTTTAAAGACGATTTCTTAGACCTGAATCTTGAAATTGATGAAAACTGCTCAAATTTACATCCCAAAATCAATAATTGGACTGTATATACCGATGCGTTTGTTGAGGCGGATATTACGCTATAAATGTTCAAAAGAGATATTTTCTTCCTGTACAGTAGAAGATAATGACAGGTTTTAGACAGGACGGTAAAAGTTTGTAGTCTATTTTCATTTATGAAAATAAAAAAGATTTTTCAAGCTGACTGTAGATGCTAAGGTCTCTAGAGACCTCCTTCAAAATCGGTTCCGCAACAAATGTTTTGTCCTTCAAAATCGCAGTTACAAAACATTGAAGTTCTATAATTTGGATTAGTTTAGTTGATTGATATATGTATGCCAATCAAAATCATGTCATTTA